AACCTGAGGTGTACAACATCAGGTTTTCTTCCTGAGTCACCCCCATTCCCCACAGGCCGCACAGTGGGAAACCCTGTGTGTGGTCATCTGTGGGCGGGCCGTGGACTCGTTCCGTGGCTGCCCTCATTGGAGTGGTCTCTGCCAGCAGCATGTCGGTCACGCTGGGATTGTGCTTACCACTAGGTATGGATGACAAAGGGGACCCGCGCAGCGAGGACGCACCCAGGGCTATCAAACCCACAAGCAAGGAGTTCAGGAAAACCTGGGGCTTTCGGAGAACCACCATCGCCAAGCGCGAGGGCGCAGGCGACGCCGAGGCCGAGCCCCTGGAGCCGCAGCCGCAGCCGCACAGCCTGTCCTTGCGCCGCAGTGGCCGGCAGCCCAAGCGCACGGAGCGGGTGGAGGAGTTCCTCACCACGGTCCGGCGCCGCGGGAGGAAGAGCGCCCCCGTCTCCCTCGAGGACTCCGGTGAGCCCGCGTCCGGTCCGGTCACAGATGTCGAAACCGCCTCGGAAGGGAGCGTGGAAAGCGCCTCTGAGGCGAAGAGTGGCCCCAAGTCCGGTGCCCCAGGTGGGGAGGGACAGCCAGCTGCCTCTGCCAAGGCCAAAGGGGGTCGTGGTGAGGACGACACGTCAGACAGTGACAGCGACGGCCTGACTTTGAAAGAACTTCAGAATCGCCTCCGAAGGAAGCGAGAGCAGGAGCCTCCCCAAAGGCCTCTGAAAGGTCTCCACAGCCGTCTGCGGAAGAAGCGGCGTGAGGAGGACCCCACCGAGGCCGTGGGCATGGAGGCCGGCGGCAGCAGCAGCGTCGAGACCCTTTCTCCCCAGAAGCAAGAGCCCGAGGCCGACCAGGGGGCTGGGTCCCAGGCAACGAAAGACGGTGGAGATGGGAGTCAGCCTGAGGGGAAGGCGGCTCAGGGAAGCAAGGGCGAGGACCCCGAGGGCGCGGGCAGACCCAAGCCCGAGTGCGAGGTCTCCGACCCCAGTGCCCTGTACTGCCTCTGCCGGCAGCCCCACAACAACAGGTGGGTCACGGCGGCCCGGCTCCCGGGAGGGCCAGGCCACAAGAGGGGCTTTTTCATTTGGATTTTTAAGAGTTACGAAGCTGGGCTGGGTCGTTTGTTTAGTTGTCAGAGATGAACAAGTGATCGTTTGTTTAGAGGTTTTTGCTGTAGGGCGCGTCTACTCGCTAGAAAGAGAGAGACAGACAGTGAGAAATCACCCCCCAGGGGGGGATGGCCACACCACCATCCCTTCTCCTCCATTCTCTCGGGATCTTGGGCACGCACGCACACGCGCCCCACACGAGTTTAAGCCACCGGGTCCAGGACTCAAACCGGAGTCCAGCGACATAGCCATTACACTAATCAACTGCTGGTCCCAACGTACAAGTAATTGTCAAAAAGTCTAAGAGAAGGGGCCCGCAGGTGGCGTGGTAGTTGAGGGCGCTGGATTCCCACATGGTCGACCATGGTTCACGTCCCGGACTTAGTGGCTTGCTCTCTCTCGCTCGCTTGCTCACTCGCTCACTCTGTTCCTCTCTGGTCAAATTGAAATCAATAAAGTAATTCTTTAAAAAAATAAAAGTTTAAGAGTAGGGGGTCAGGGCCAACCTGTGGTCAGGCTGGCTGTGGGGTTCGAGTTTTTTTGTTTGTTTGTTTTTTGAGAGGTTTTTCACTATAGGGAGCGTGCACTCGCCAGCCAGACAAGAGAGAGACGTAGAGACAGAAAGCAAGAAATCATCCCCCAGGGGGGATGGTCACGCTGCAATCCCTTCTCCTCCATTCTCCTCTCGGGATCTTGGGCGCGCATGCACGCACACACACGCGCCCGGCGTGAGGTTTAAGCCACCGGGTCCAGGATGCGAACCGCGGTCAACTACATGGGAGTCCAGCGACATAACCATTGCGCTAACTGCTGGTTCCCGGGTTCGAGTTTTTGACCCAGTGGCTTGAAAGTACCTTGAGCACGTGTGTGCACGCCCTCCCCATCGTGAAAACGGATGGGTGGAGGGAGAAGGGTTGCAGTGACCGTGCCCCATGGAGGTGCTGTCCTCCCTCCCTCTCTGCTAAGCGCACACAGCCTCTGGCAGGTTGCACACATGGTAAGGAGTGGTCAGGAACGCCCAGTGCTGAGGTCCCTGCACTATTGTCCTGGCCGCTCGAGCGCTCTGCAGTCAGCAGTGTGCATGAGGCCCACGGACGGCCTCTGGGGCCTCCATCCGGTAAGCCACACGCAGAAGTCCCGTCATCCCAGAGGGTTTTTCAGAGACCACACTGGGCTGGACCTGGGGAGACCCGTCGGTGAGGGGGAGCCTTCACTGGACTTGAGGGCCATGTGGTATTGGGGTCTCCTTGTTGGAGTCTTGGTGAAATAAAGGCATTTTTGCTGGTTGTTGGGGCTACCCTGCTGGTGGGTGGCAGGAGTGTCTCTTGACATCTGTAAAATGCTCTAGTCAAGAAAAATGTGAAACAAGTTTTGTTGAATGCCCATAAAATGCAAAGAAGGGCACCGAGTGCGGAGTGAGCCCGGGTAGTCCTGACCCGCGTCTGTCTGTGTGTGCATTTTCTCGGAATGGAGCGCTGAGGCCAGCCGGCAAGCGGGTCGGGCAGCGAGTGCTGGCTCCCGGCCTGACGTCTTTGTTGCACATGTCCAGGTTTATGATTTGCTGTGACCGGTGTGAAGAGTGGTTCCATGGCGACTGTGTGGGCATTTCCGAGGCACGGGGGAGGCTTCTGGAAAGGAATGGCGAAGACTATATCTGCCCAAACTGCACCATTCTGCAAGTGCAGGACGAGCCCAACCCAGAAAGCAGCGCTCAGCACGACGCGGCCCTCAGACCTAGTGATGCCGATGGCACCGAGCTCACCAGTATAGGGACGGTTGAGCAGAAGTCGAGTGAAGACCAGGGGATAAAGGGTAGAATCGAGAAAGCTGCAAACCCAAGCGGCAAGAAGAAGCTCAAGATTTTCCAGCCTGTAAGTACCTCGTCCACGGCGGGCCTCGGGGGCCGCCGGTCCACTTCTGACCTGCCCCGATGGGGGAGCCTGGGTGAGACACCCGCTGTCAGGGCCACGCTCAGTAGCAGAGGCGGTGGGAATGCAAATGTCAGTCACCTGGGTTGTCGTCATTGCGAGTGAGCCTAGGTGGTCTAAGGGAGACAGTCTGCCAAGAAAGCCCAGTTACGTTAGTTATTTCACTTGAGAGGTAAGATTTTGCTCAGGTACATTTAAGGGACCTGTTCATATGTATTTAGTCTTGACTGATAAAACACGCAAACACACTCCCATGGAGGCCAGCAGGTGGCACAGTGCTCAAGGCGCTGGATTGCACCGTGGCCAACTGCGGCTCAAGTCCTAGGCCTGGTGGCTTGAAAATCACTTTACATGTGCCCCAAATCCCAAGAGTAGAGGAAATTGCGATGTGGTCATTTCTCAGGGGTTTGGTTTCTCACTTTCTCTTTGTCTCTCTCTGGCAAGGGCACAGACCCTGTGACCAAATAAATAAATAACCTAGAAACAAAAAACACTTAATGTGTGTGTGTGTGTGTGTGTGTGTGTGTGCATCGGGTGCTGTGTGCTCACCAGAGAGAAACTGCACCTCCCGATAGGGGATGGTCACACCGCAGCCCTTTTCCCTCCCTTTTCTTCACCCCTTCAGGATATTGGGTGCCACTGTGCAGGCACACATCTGGGCTGTTTTCCAGGCCACTGGACTGGACTTCGGACCGGTCGGCCTGTGCGGCCCTCGCTTGGGCGCAGTGCTTACCAGCATACTCAGGGTCACCCTCACACCTTTGTCAGTGACGGCCAGCAGGAGCGTCCGGTGCTGCTGTCCTGTTGCACGAGGTACCCACGACAGCTTGCAGCAGCACGCGTGTCTGGCCTCAGCCTCCGAGTGTCGGGAGCCTGGCTGTGGCTCAGCCAGGCCCCCTGCCCTGGGTCTTGAGAGACTGCCTTGAATGTGGCTGGGGCTCTGTCCTCCAGAGCGCCAGCTGGGGAGAGGTCCTCCTGAAGCCAAGCTCGGCATGTAAGTGTGTCCCGCGTGGTGCTGCAGCACACTTAGGCAGAGGCACTCTTCGTGTTTGTCTGAGGATGAGGTGTTTTTCAGCAGTTCCACCTCCGATCCAGGACCTGGTGGCCCAAAACAGGGCCGCTTGTTTCAGACTCAGCAGTGAAGTCGTCTCTGTTTGGGAAAGGCCTAGTCCGTCTTCTTAGGGTTTTTACCAGTCAGACTCCTTTAACTTGAGGCGACTTATCTGGGATCTTCATTATAGTGACCTGCAAATCCCTCTGCAGATTTGCCCTGTCAGCACTGGAACCTCATCACGGTCACAGGCATCATTCGCACCCAGTGGGGGCTTAGACAGAGTGCGTGTGCTGGGCGGGAGTCCTGGGTTGTCTCCTTGGAATTCCCACCACAGATGCGCAGAGGTTGGTTAAAATGTGAGCGGCTCACATAGGAGAGGAAGAGGTCTCTGTCATTTGAACAAACAACTGCTCCTTGATATCTAAGACGTCGTCAGTGACACGGGCAGCTTTGCAAAGTGCTCCAGGATGTGCTGGTTCGAAGTCACCTGTTTGGTCCCACAGGCTGTGGAGGTCCCTGGCGCTTCCAAGTGCATCGGCCCTGGGTGTGCCGGCCTGGCGCAGCCTGATTCGGTCTACTGCAGCAACGACTGCATCCTCAAGCATGCCGCAGCCACCATGGCAGTCCTCAGCTCAGGCAAGGAGCAGAAGTCCAGGCCCAAGGAGAAGGGCAAGGTGAGGCCGGAGAAGCTCAGTCTGCCAAGGTGCAGCGTGCAGGTGAGTGACTGAGACGGGCCCCTGGGCAGGCGAGCACAAAGCATGCAGGGCCTCCCCGAGTGTCTGTGTCCACTACGAAGGCAGGACCCTGCAGGTGGTGTCGCCTTCACGCCGCCATCCCCTTCTCTACCCATTTCTTTCTCTGTAGAGGTTTTTGCCTTAGGGCGTGTGCATTCATGGGGGTGGGGGACAGACAGACAGTGAGAGGAAAAGTAAATTCACCCCTGGGGAGGTGGCCACGCTGCAGTCTCTTCTGCATTCTCCTCCTGGGATCTTGGGCACACGTGCGCGCGCACATGCATCCCAGCGTGAGTATCAAGCCACCGAGTCTGAGACTCGAACCATGGTCGGCCATGTGGGAGTCCAGCAATGTATCAGTACGCCATCTGCTGGCCCTATTACCCATTTTCTTATTTCCTGGTGTTTGCTGGGGGACCGAGTAATAGGAACCCATAAGGCAAGTGTAGGCAGCACAGAACAGGGCACAGACTGCAGCCTTGCTGCAGGGAGGTGGGCACGGGGCTCCCGAGGTGAGGTGAGTGGGAGCGCGTCCAGGCAGGCAGTGTGCCTCGTTTTAGACCTCGTTCTCCGCTGTGCACACGATTCAGGATGGGTCAGGGATTCTCAGAAATGACAGGCTCTTGGTATACTTGAAGACCCACCCTGGGGTTTGGGTGGACGTACCCCCCTTAGTTTGTGATAAGCAAGGAATACTGGTGCTTTGGGGAGCTCTCCTCATTATTTTCAAGTGCTTAGCCTTTAGATGGCTTGACTGGCAGGGACTAGCAGTTGGCATAATGGCTATGTCATTGGACTCCTATGTAGTTAGTTGATCACAGTTCGAGTCCCGGACCCTGTGGCTTAAACTCATGTTGGGCATGTGTACATGCATGTGTGTCCAAGATCCCGAGAGGAGAATGGAGGAGAAGGGATTGCGGCGTGGCCATCCCCTCAGGGGGTGATTTCTCGTTTTCTATCTCTCTGTCTGTCTCTGTCTTTCTGGTGAGTGCACGTGCCCTATAGCAAAAACCTCTCCCAAAAAAAAAAAGATGGCTTGACTGGCAATTTTGAGTCGTAGCTGCCAGTGGAGCAGTTGCTGCTGTGGACACACAACTCCAGTGCTGGGGCCTCCTGGGCCTTGTTTCCAGGCCTTGTGCCCACCAGGTGTTGAGTCCCTCCTCCATGTGGCCAGGCCAGGCCTGGCATCTTCTCCTGGGGCTGCTACTCTAGGGACTGGGCAGCTCAGTCCGCAGGACACAGATGGCCTTGTGTCAGAAACCTGCGAGTTGTTCCGATTGTCGAGGTCTCAGATTCCACCGGGAGTGCTGCAGGTCTGCTAGGGGCGCAGAGGTGGTCCTGCTGCTGCCGAGCTGACCCTCTACGAGCCCAGGATGGGCAGGGCATCTGGGAATGACACGTGGGGAGGCGGTCGTGGCCTGTTGCTCAGTGGAATGAACCGAAGTGGCGTTTCTGACCACCTTAGTGATCGGGTTTTACCAATCATCCAGGCAGGCATTAAAATCTCTTCTGTGCACAAGAGACCTGCTCCAGACAAAAAAGAAAACACAGTGAAGAAGGTGGTGGCGGCTCTTCCTAGGAGCGAAGCCCCAGGGAGGGAAGCAGCCTGTGAAAGCACCACTCCGTCCTGGGCAAGCGACCACAATTACAACGCCGTGAAGCCCGAGAAGACCACCACTGTCCCGGCGTCACTGTTGTGTAAATGTACGTATCACCTCGAGGCTGGCTGCCTGGACCCCTCCTGCTCTTTCTGGAGAGCTGTCCCCGGGCCTGCCCAGCACTGGGAGTCATGGTCATGCTCGTGCAGTCGCGAACACAGCTGCCCCAACAGCGCTGGGCCTCGTGCACAGGCCGACTCCAGGCCAGTGTGTCCCAGCTGGGCCTGCGTGCCGTCCCGGCTGCGCGTGCCTCTTTCTGTCAGAGCGCTCTCCAATGCCTGGGCTCGTAAACCTTTGCTGTCATTAGCAGGCCTGGGTAAGTATTTGAGTTGTCTTCAGCAAAAGCAGATTGGACCATGACACTGCCACCTTCCGCGTCACTCAGTGTTCTCCCAGCCCTGAATTCAGCTTCAGGAGCCTTTCTGCCTCCCCCACCTCCCACACAGAGTGGCTGTCCCCTCTCCGTGAGGACCCTGCAGATGAGTGTCACTCTAACTTGGGCACAACCAGGCACCTAGTAATTGTTGGCGTTTCACGCAGGTGCTGTCCCCGTGTTGACCACCCTGAGGCCCTTTGCTGCTGCCCACGAGGGCAGTGAGTGTGTGCAGGGTGCTTTCCCGGGGCGGGTGCTTCTCTGCAGGCCCTGAGTTCCCGACATCCCAACTGCCCTCTCAACTGCTGACCAGTCCTGCCCTGTCCCAGATTCCCAGTGAAAGGACACCCTGCTGGGCCCGTCACGGGCCTGCTGGATGGGAGTGCCCAGCTGGCTCACCTTTCCACTCTTGTTTCTCAGTGAGGTGCTCCGAATTGAAGTCCAGACATTTATTTGAGGTTGTGGGTACATCTTAACCTATTACGAAGCCATTTCCATTCCGTTTTTATTTATGCTATTTATAATGCATTTTATGCCTTTTTTTTTAAAGCCCCATAAGGTTAAAAAGACCTAAATTCCAAGATTCCAGAATGTGCTGTGTTTTCCTCTTAGCCTTATTAGCAAGTCACCTAAGGGCGGGTGCCTGTGCAGGCAGTGTGGCCTAAAACTAGGCTGTGTGGCCTAAAACTAGGCTGTGTGGCCGGCCACCGCCACCTGGAGGCCAAGAGCTGTGAGACCGGATCGCTGTCATGCGCAGCCTCAGTGCGGAGACCTTGGCTTGTCCAAGCAGGGACTCTCACGCCAGCACACGGCACGTCTCACGTGTCCTTCCCAGGTACTCCCTCCACCAAGCAGCACTCGCAGAGCTGGCACATGGTTAGCAGGAGTGGCGAGCAGGCGCTTGTCCTGCGGTCCCGGAATGTCCTGAGCTGGTCGTAGGCACATAGCAATAAAGGTCACAGAAACAGGCCGCCTCAGCAGGGCAGCCATGATTCACTTTGTCCCCAACTGCATCGACCAGTTGTCGAAAGCTGCCCTGGGGCTCCCCAGTGTGGAGTTTCAGGAGGCCGTGTCCATGTGAGCGAGGAAAGTCGGGAAAGGATGGGGAGACGGTGGGCTGACCCGAGTCATCCTTTCCTGCCTCGCTTTTCGGGGGGAGGGCCGAGGTGCCTGGTGGGGGCGCGTGGGGGCTCTGACCCCCTGCCCTTTTCCAGCTTTTCTCTTTCCAGTACACCTGCCTTTGGGGCTTCAGTGGAAATTGGGACCAGGTAGTGACTGGCTTGCCTTGCCTGCGCATCTCTGCGTCCCTGTTAACAAGGGTGGGTGCACCAGGACTTAGAGCTGCGCAGGTGGGGGTGGGGGTACAGGATGTGTGTGCTCACGAGAGACAGTGGCAACGTGAGGAGTCGCCCACCGGGGGGCACTACAGTCCCTGTTCCTCCATCCTCCTCTCCGGATTTTGGGCACACAGGGACATGTGCCCGGTGTGTTTCTCAAGCCACCAGGTCCGGAACTCCGACTGCATGGTTGGCCACGTGGGACCCAGCCACCTAAGCCGTCAGGCCACCTGCTGGCCCCAAGATACACTTTCCAGCTGATGGTTCTGTTCATTTTCTGCCCTCTCCCCAGGTGGTTGGGGGAGGTAGGGCCATTGGTAAAATACTGGGCTCAGCCTTGGTGAGGAGCGGTCCCCACATCTCTGCCCTCTCCCTGTAACCTCTGCTCACCCTTGTGGCAGGCAGGCCTTGGGCCCAGTAGGCACGGTGGGAGTGGTACCGCCCACAGCCCATCAGCGTGCCACGCTGCTCACCAGCCCCGTTGCCCCGGCCTGGGCTTGGGGGCTCCTGGCGGCTCGCCCTCACTTGGCCGGCTCCCGGCGTACTCGGAAAGGACCTCCTGCAGTGCCCCTGCCATCCCTGCGGTGTGGCAGGGTCTCCCCTGGTGGGCCAGGCCTTGCTGCTCGCAATGAACTCTGCGGCCACCCATCTGCGGTGGGTCTCCACGCCCTCACGGTGCCATGGCCATACCGCGCCCTTCGACATGGTTTTTACATCTTCTCAGGGCTTCTGTACAATTTCTTTGGCTTACGGAAACGATCAGCATATAGTCTTCCCAAGACTGAGATGTCCCTGTTTTCACAGCTTTTTCTGCCGTATTTCTTCTTTCCACCGCTTGAACTTCTCCCATTATCGTCAGGCGCAAAGTGGGCTGAGCATGTTTTTCTGAAGTGTCCCCAGCTGATTTGAATTTTGAAGTAGAATCCTGCCATTCCTACTTCTGGTTTGTCGGCTTCCCCAGCCGCGCAGGTTGGAGTGGGAACCCGACCCTCTGCACACCCACGCCCCGTGACCGGCTGTGCCTGGGAGGAGCAGTTCCTCCCATGTGCTGCCACACAGGTGGCACCTCGGCCCAGCAGAACACACTGCGTCCTGGGGCTGCATCCGTGTGTGCGTGCGTGAGCCCGGGACGCTGGGTGGGAAGGTAAGGCCAGAGGTAGAGGTGCCAGCCAGGTGGGTGGGTCTCCTCCCGGTGGGCAGTGGCAGAAGAGCTGCAGTGAGCAGACTTGGTGTACCTAACGTCCCCTTCCAGTCACAGGGAAGTCAGTTTATACTGGGCAGGGGAGCAGCACAACTATCTTTTCATGTTCTCCATGCGGCCAGATTTCGACTTTTTTTTTTTTTTCCTCTTTGGTATTTTAAAGTATCTTAGTTTTACAAATACACAAAAGTAGGCCTGCTGTCTCAAACAGTAGGTCCAGGAAGCGTTCCGCGTCTCCATGACTTGAGCTTGCGAGGTAAGCTGCCCCAGTGCTGTCCCCCTCCGCCCTGCACTGCCGCCTCATTCTTGTGCTTCAGCCCCTGGGAGGCATAGTGACAGGGCTTCGCTTCCAGCAGGATCCGCCGGTAAACGCGCCTGCTCTTCAGTGACCCCACAGAACCCACGGAGCTGTGTGCGGCTCCGCCCTAGTGCTCTCTGAAGACCCGTCCTCTGGGCCAGTCCCTCAGCCGGCAGGTCCCTCAGCCGGCAGGGTCGTGGCAGAGGGCACTTCCCAGTATCGACCCAAGCTCCAGGCAGAAAACTGAAACACGGAATGTTCTTAAGGTTTATCTGAAGCATCAACACACGGTTACATTCTTCTGAATTAGAAAAGTAAAGAATTTCTGCTTCTCTGATTTGAACAAAGGTTGAGGCAGCTTTGCCACAAACCTGGAAGAATTCAGCAAGAACAAGGTTGGGTGGCTGTGTCCCCTCCCCATCCCTATAACCAGGCCCGGAGTCCAGTCTCCGCACATCCCTCTGTAGCCACGCCCCTCACTCCCTGTGCTGCCTGAGCTGCCACCCGCCCTGCACTGTCATCTTCGTGGTCTGCCGAGTGCGACCCTGTGGGACTGGAGAGGGCGGGTGGGCAGCTTCAACACACCCTCACGCTGCTTCAAGGAATGTTCAGACACAAACCAGTGGTGGCTAGAACTTGACCTCATCAGAGGCCTTGGGGCCTGTCACTGTCACTGAGAGAGCTCAGGAAGAGGCGGCTCTGGCCTGCGGCCCTCACAGCTACTGGCAGTTCACGGTGAGGCAGAACCAGATCAGTCCCAGCCGCCTGACGTGAGTCAGGTTTCCCTCTCCACAATGTGCCCCTGCTCCGGGGAGGGCCTGCCTGCAGCCATCCAGGGGCCCCCAGTAGGTGGGGTGATTTGGTGTCACATGTGGGTCGTAGCAGTGTCCTGTGTGCACGGCGCCACCCACTCCAAGGAGCGTAGGTGGCTGTTCGTGGGCTTTCTCAGTACTGTTTGGGAAATGAATTGCCCATGTTTGATTTTTATATAGAATCAGATCGTGTTTTCAAAAGGAGATAATCCCTTTGAAGACACCAAAGCATACTGAGAGGAGGATAGCCAGACGGCGCTCCTTTTGCTAGTGCCACCCTGGTGGTCACACCAGGAAAGTCCTTAGCCTGAAGGGCAGGCATCACACCCGTGCCTCCCTGAGAACTGCGTGGAGCTGACTACGGTGGAACAGTGACCTTTGTGTCGCCCTCTGTGTCCCCAGCTCTTACTCCTATGCAGAGCAGAAACCGGGTTGTCAGCAGTGGCTGAGGGCAGGGTGTGCCTGCGCCCAGGGCAGTGGGCTGGGAGCGTGCTACTCCCCCAGGGACCTGCGGCAGTGGGCTGGGAGCCTGGCCGCCCTCAGACTGGACAGACCCGCTGCAGCAGCTCCTGTAGGCACTG